CGTTCATTATGAGTCAGAAAAAGTTCTCTAATAATGCTGGCAAGAAACCAGGTCATCTACTAAAAAACGCTTGTCAATTTTTGTTTCTAGGGGGAAACATTTTTTGCCAGTTTCATCCCCTGAGCGGAAACCCTCTATCGGGGGTGAGACTCACCAGTAAAAGCTTAAATGGAAAGATGGGTCGAATGATATCTTATTTCAGAGGTATTTTACCTAGTTAATAACCCCCAAGTTTTATATCACTACTATCTATGTCGCCCATACAGTGGCTCACCCAAAGTACAAAACTGCTTTAACATAATTTTTACATTGTTATTAAAAAAAAGGAATTATTTGTAACAATTCTAGTTTTATTCCTAAGGCTTTCAATTATTGTTATCAGATAACATTCTTTGGTCCCAGTAAAGTAGTTTAGTTTATTTCTTTGTAGAGTCGGCATAAAAGTGGCATATCAGTGATAATAGTTTACTCAATTGCTGAGAGGGTGCAAATAATTTCACTTTTTTGCGAACAATGAATATCCCAACTGTTTAACAATCAATATCAAATTCGACAAGTCCATCGAAAGTATATTTTGGAATTAGTCTAAAAATTTTGGGAAACTGGGTCAGTAGCTAACAAATAACGTTAAATGGAAAATGCTGTAGTAAATGAAGCTGTAGATGTGGCGATTTTAGGACATGTTGTTCAAGAACCCACATTGAGTACAAGACAGTTGGCGGTAACATCTGGTATTAAGAGAAGTAGCATTCAGCAGATATTAAAAAAAACATAAGTTTCATTCTTACCAAATACATCAGGTAAAATAAGTTAACGAAGACGATTTTGATAGGCGATTACAATTTTGTGAAATTATGACTGAACGGGCAATATATGATCTGCAATTTCTTTTCAACGTGTTTTTCAGACAAATGGACTATTTTCCTAAACGGTACAGTAAATCGTCACAACTGTCGTTATTGGTCCGATTCAAATCCCAGAATACGCAACATCCGAAAAAACTGAATGTTTGGGCTGTCATTTTTGCTAACCGTATAATTGGCCCCTTCTTTTACCTGAAACTTTAACTGCAGAAATGTATCTGGAATTATTATAAAATGCCATTTATCCAGCATTACTAGAGTTGATTGAGAATGACGATCAATACATAGCAAACAACTTAATATTCCAGGTTCCAGGCAATTTCAGGTCAATTAATCGGAAGAAGAGGAAGTATTGAGTGGCCTCCACGGTTTCCGCGCCTAAGCCCGTTAGTTTTTTTTATGGGGCAACTTAAAAATTAAAATTTATGCCACCCAGCCAACATCACTAGAAAATCTGCTACAACGGATAATTGATGAATGTCATCAAATCACCCCACAGATGCTTCAAAATGTCCGAGAACGTTTTGAACAAAATATTATTGCATGAAGGCCCAGGGTCATCATTTCCAGCATTTACTCGAGTAACTGAGGGTAAGCTTTTACAGAAAACAAAAGTCGTTAAAAGATCATGGCTAGGAAGACAGTAGCGATTTAAAACTCAGGGATTATATTCTATGTAAAAAGTCCTTCAAAATAAGCTATAATTCGACCCTTCTTTCCGTTTAAGATTTTAGGGGTGAGTTTCTCCCCCGCTAGAGGGTTTCTATTCAAGGGTTGAAACTAGCAAAAAAATGTTTCCGCCTAAAATCAAAAATTGACGGGTCTAAGAGTTTTTTTTCGTAAATGACCTGGAATGCCCAAAATTGGCTACTTATTTCATTGGTACTATAGTACCGCAGCAATACTAAATACCAGTGGTGGCTACACCGAGTATATCCAGCAATTGGACATTTGACAATACCTTTTTTTGTCAAGAAAATTTTCATAAAATCAACGCTTTAAAGTAGCTTTTTAAGTGCTTTTAAAAAACCGTTGGTTTCTTAAGTGAGGAGGGGAGTCATAGCCTCCATTTCCCGCATAGAAGCCGGGCACCCAAAGCAGTTTTTGAGTTCCGCGGCGCCTATGAATATTACTAGTTCAAAAATATGATTTTTAGGTCATATATAACATACTTATTTGTTAACGGTTAATACGTTTCTTTATTACTAACAAATTGTCCTTTCAGTATAATTTTCACAAAACAAGTAAACATGAAACATTATGGGGCACAACAATAACACACTTGTATACCACTGGTCTTAATCGTACTTTTTGATATCAGTCTTATTATGAAGGTAAAAACAATTCTGGGTCTGTTATATCTTTTCGATGTTCATTATTTTTGTTCCATTTTTTCTTTTTTTAAGAGTTCATAATTTTACCATTTACCCACGCACGGTTACAATGTTTCGACACAAATACAATTTCTGTCATAGTTATGGCAATGTTAAAAATTCGCTGCGGTAATTGTTTTTCCATCATACTTAATTCGTTGGCAATGTAATTTCAAAATAAAACGTTGATCCTCTACATCAGTGTCCAGTTTGAAAATACACATAATCTTGCAGAAGTACAACTGAATTACGGCACATACGCATATATATTCAGAGAGGCCGAAATTATTTTAAACAACAAACGAATGAACAAATTTCAGCGCGATTGCGGGAGCGAGCGAGAAAAATAAACGAAAATTAGCGCCGTCCCTTTTTAGGGCCGGCAGGCGCACTTTGTTAAAGAGTTACATTATTTATTGCCCTGAGCCGAACAATGCAAAAAATATGTCCGGTGCCCTACCAGAGGCGAAATGCAATTCTGCTGGTTGCAATATATTGCACCAAATTTATATAAGTCTAAGCCAACTGAAACGCCACGTAACACCGAGCGAAAAAAAAAGGTAAATAGTAAAGAGAATTTTTAAGGGATAAAATAGGAGTGCGGTTAATGGGATTCCACACCCTTGGGTATTTTAAATTTGAATTTTTAAATTTGAATTGTGATTTAGTATGATTTAGTATTACCGTCCTTCTTAAGCATATTTTTAATTTTAATATCTAATATGCATTATTTATATATAAATGTATACCAGCTTTTTTCCTCGTGTGCAGTGGCGTGCGGTGACATTTTTGAAAACGAAAGCGATTGTATAAAAATAAAGCAGGCCATTAAGCACAGCGCCGTAGGCGAAAATTTTTCACGGCGCATTCACCATTTTGTCAAAATCTTGCTTTTTTCCTTAGGGGGCGTCCATTAATTACGTGAGGTATTTTTGAGGATTTTTTGACTCCCCTTCCCCCCTTGGCGAGATTTGGTAAGATTTTCCTTAACTCCCTCCCTCCCTTCCCTAATCTCACGTGAGATTTTTCAAAATTCGTGTTTTGGGTGTAAATGTGTTGGATTATTAAAAAAAAAAAACAAAAACACAATATGTTCCATTACTTTTATTTAAGATTAGCAAAGACTAGTGTTTAAGAGCGTTGCAATTATTTAAAATCACATTAATAAAATTAAATGATAAATACTTAAATGGAAATGTCGTGAGATTAGTTAGATCACCGAGACGCGAAGCGTCGAGGTTAGCTATGATCTCGAGACAGGAATAAACAAATGTCAGATAAAGCCGGATATTAAATTCGCGAATAATAAACATTAATAAGTAGTTTGTTGTATTTTTAGTTCATTGTTGTTTTTTATTGTTTGCCATTAAATAGGTATTATAAAATTGGTCAAAAAATGTGTTATTTTTTTTAAATATAAAAAATATTCATCTGGAAAAGATGAAATGAGGGCGGGAAGAGAGGGCGGGAAGAGAGGGCGGGAAGTAGAGGTGTGTAATGTGACACTTCCCAACCTTCAATGACGTTAGTAATGACAACATTACATATATGGTTGTAAATAAACATAATTATAAGATTTTTCCATATTTTATTCTAGAAATACTTTTACTATAATTTAACTTTACTTTCACGCAATTTTACACCGTTTTCTACTAGAAAAAAATTACGTGAGATTTACGAAAACCCCCCCTCCCCCCCAAGTGAGATTTAGAAAGATTTAGTTTTATCCCCCCCCCTGAACACCTCACGTAATTAATGGACGCCCCCTTAGTACTACGGATATTCGAGATTGAGAATTTTGAAGTGTTACTATTACTTTATTACCTAGTTTAATACTAGAAGCTAAAACAAAAGATTTCTTGGTTTATTTAAACGTAAAAAAACATTTAACTGAAGTTTTTTCATTTTCTCCAGCATTTTTCGCACAGTTGACACAGCAGTTGACATTTATTTATACTTAAGATCTATTCGCCTATCCTCAATAGCTGCAAATTTGTCTATAACATCGTCGTAAAATTTTGGATTTTCTGATAACTGTTTAACAAGCTGTTTTTCAATGGATATTAGGGCTAAATTAGAGAGCCTGTCTTCACTTGTTAAATTTTATATAAAACTTTTAATGCGCTTTAGCTTAAAAACTTCGCTCAACTGACGCACTTGTGGTTAAGATGGTTAGTACTAATTCACACAACTTGACGACTTCACAAAGAGCCTAATTTAAACCAGTTATTATAAGAAAATTTAACACATTGACGGGCGTCTTTTTATCACTAATTTCAGTTGTTTCATAAACAACACTTAACTGGGACTTAATGCTGGAATATCGAAAAAACTCCATAATTTAATTTTTATAAATTAAAAGCTTCCGACGGAAATTTTGATGATTCGTAGTTACTAATATTAAAATTGCATAATTCAACAAATTCTAATTCGTTAAAGTTTTGAAATCGAGAGTTCATTTGTTGTAAAATATTATCAAAAATTTCGGCGTGTAACCGACGATAGGAGGTTTCTCTGTCGCCGACATTATCAATTCTAATTCTCTTTCTTTCAGGCTCTAAGCCAATGTTTTGAGTCTTATTCCAAAAGTGTTCAAACTGATCTCGTTTTTTATTTATTTTATTTTTAAATGTCATTTGATTTTGTCTGTAAAATGTCGAATAAAATGTCAGTAAAAGGGAAAATCTCTGCAAAAATGTTAAGCAAAAAATTGAAATCAAAGTTTTGTTTGAGCCAATGCAAATACCCTTTAGCAGCAGTAACAGTTTCAGCATCCCATGTTTCTTTATTATCCCAAACGTCTTGAAAGAAGTTTATCAAAGAATCACGGTATTGAAACATTGTTTGTACTAAACGTCCATTGTAGTTCCACCGCGTCTGAGCAAATTTTGGAAACCTTTTGTGAACGTGAATGTCCAAAGCGCGAATTCTTTTCGATGACTTTAAAAAGAAGGAAGCCAAACCAGTAAGCTTCGAAAAGAAATTTTTCTACGGTTGCAATGATAAATCATCATTTTGATTCGGCTATTGGAACTTATATCATACACATTTTACACAACATTTCATATTGCACGGGTTGCCCAGCAACGCGTGCGAAATGAAATTTTAATTTAGTAGATCAAAAACTAAGGCGGCTATAATATCATTTTGACGTTACTGTCAGTATAATTAATATTGACAGAACTTACGATAATTATCTTTTTTTATGAAATAAATTAATAAAATGGACAGTGACAGTGATATAGAATTAACACCTCCAAACATAAAGGAAGCTGCAAAAGTAACAACTTTAAATTTGTTGCCACCAACATCAAAAAAATTACATCAACGATCTTATGCCCTCTTCATGAATTGGAAAAAAAGTGAGAACGCACTCATTTTCAAAGAATGTTTTAGTGGCTTATTTTACCGAATTGGCGAAAAAAATGAAAAGTTCTACGCTTTGGACACAAATTCGATGTTAAGAACGACTATCAGCATTAATAATAATATAGATATTAGCAAATATTTGAAATTGAAAGCATTTCTCAAGCGGCAGTCAGACGGATACAAACCGAAAAAGTCGAAGACTTTAACGCCAAATGAAATCGAAAAATTTATAAAAGAAGCTCCCTATGAGATATATTTAGTAACAAAAGTAGGTTATTTATATTTAAAATACGTTATTTTTTATATTTGTGTAATGCAAAGTATTTTCAATTTGTGAATTTTTATTGTAGGTTGCGTTAATTATGGGTGTAATGGGTGCATGCAGACGACATGAATTACAGCAGATGAAAATTTCAATTTTTAATGATTTGAATGAAGCAGTTTTGGTGACGGTACCAGACACTAAAACCAAAATTTTTCGAAAGTTCACTATAATTGGTCAATATTATAAAATTTTTAAAAAATATGCCGACCTTCGGCCTCCTCATGTTAATGATCCCTGGTTTTTTTATAAATTACCAAAAAGGTAAATGAACCGTTCAAAGAATAGGGTTGAATAAAATTGGGGCAATGGGAAAAGATATTGCCAAGTATTTGAAATTGCCAAATCCTAAGTTATATACAGGTCACTGCTTCCGCCGTTCCTCGGCAACAATTTTAGTTGATGCTGGTGATGACATAACCACGTTAAAGCGTCATGGCGGCTGGAAGTCTACAGCTGTTGCTGAAAGCTATATAGATGAATCCTTAACAAATAAGATTGATATAGCCAACATAATTTCTAATAAGATAAAAAATATAACTTCAGAAACGGGAAACACATCTACTACAACTGCAGAAAATGGCCAAATTCAAGAAAATGTAAATATTGAACGTAATATCACTACTACCTCCCCAAAAATGGTTTTTAATAATTGTACGTTTAATTTTTATAAATAGGTTGGGGTATGGCTTGACCAGTTTTTCAGTTTCAATCGAGTTTATTTATCCACAATTTGTTATTTGCAGTGTAATCTATTCCAGTTAATAAAATAAATCTTTTATTCGATTTGTGTTTGTTTGTGTAATAGAAAGCAGTCGTAGAAAAAGTATAGTATGCAATCTTTAATATCGTGGGCTTACAAGCAAAAGGTATTAAGTCAAAAAATAGGTTTATAAGTTATAAGCAATTCAAAGTTTCAATGAAGGTCTATTCTTTTATAAATTATTTACGGAATATCAACTGCTTCAAAGAAAATGTACATGCTTTCGGAATACAATGGACTGTTTTTTACTGATATACAAAAATATAAACCCATTTTGACAAATTTTTGACTTAGTGCCTTTTGCTTGTAAGCCCACGATATTATCCATGCTTCGCGATAAAACCAAATTAAGTCTATGTGCTATACAGTGAACGAAAATTGCATGTTTAAACTTCTCTTTCACTTTAGCTTGAAGGCCTCCTAAATGGCCAGCCATTACGGCAGCACCATCGTAGCTCTGGGCAACAAGCTTAGAACCACATTCTAAACTTGAAATAATGTCACAATTTTAAACAATGCATCTGCAGTTCGTTCGCTAGTGACGTCCAAAAATCCTAAGAATCGCCCTTGAGGAATGCCATCCAATACATATCGCACAACAATGGATAATTGACTTGTTTGCTACATCTGTGGTTTCGTTAAGCGCAATTGATACGAAAGGTGCTTTTTTAATTTCACTTTTAATGTGATCCATCACAACGTCGACAGTGCATTTAATTAAATCATTTTGGATTCTGTTTGAGGTACCTCGGAAAGTCGTCGAATCAATAAAATGATTTTTTAGGGTATCATCGTATTTTGTTAGAAAACTTAGAAGGTTTATGTAATTGCCTCGATTGGCAAATCCACTTGCTTCATTGTGACCCCTAAAACTTAGTTTATGCTCTCCCAGGAAACAAGTTACATTTATTAATCGTTTTGAAGTCGGTTAAAAATAAAGTTATAGGGAAACGAGAGACAGACTTTACATATTTTTCATTTCCTAAATAAATAAAAATAAAAACAATTTTATATCATCTTTTACTTAAGTTTTACGGGAATAAATACATTTTTAATTTTTGTATAGGTATGTACTTTATTTGTTTAAATACAATTATTCCGGTAGTACTAAGATTGGTATGTAGTTTCAGAGCAGTAAGTATATGAGATTCACGAGAAGACGTCTCTCGTCGCTATAAATAGAGAATAGAGAGGAACACAAGTAATCTTTGCCTATAGGAGCAAGATGTCCATGTTTTTTTTTACCCTTTCATTGTGAATTTTGTTGCTTATTTTTAAATGATTGTCCAAACTATGTTCAATGCGATAGGTCACGAATATTTTTTCTTTAAATGTAGCACTTATATGAGATTTGCTATTTACATGTCGTTTTAAACTTCTGTGAAAATTATTCAAGTCTGTAATACCGACTGAGTTCCAATGTGTTTTTTCGGCTATATTAAAAAGTAGGGAAGGCCAGCAAAACAATTTCTTTAAAGTTTTGTAGCCGGTTAATCATTCATACTTTTCATAGAACCCTACGTGAAAATGCCTGGTATATTTCTTTGCTGACTTTTCTACTTTCGTCTCTAAATTAATAGGATCCTTTAGTCTATTAGAATTAATAATGTCAAAATTTCTACTTAAAAATCCTTTTTTTAATAAAGAGCACACAATACAGACACAATTTACCACATTATTATTGTTCACAGGCACAGTGCTTAGTTCCTCCATTTTACAAAAATAAAAACAACTACGAAAAACAAACTGAAATTTATCTAAAATCTAAGATTTTCCTCACACGTCGATTCGCGGTGTGAATTGCAATATGCGTAAGGTGACGTAGCAATCGCTGCCTCTCGACCATATTTCACGTGCCCAAACAGATTGACTACTGTCGCCGCAAAGCAGGGTCAATTGTGAGATGAACCAGCTATTTCAAGACGCGCTTCCGCCGACCGACTCGAAGTATATGGTGTGTACGTTTATACAATTAATTTTCTCATGGGTGCTGCGTCCGTTTACACACTACACCAATGAATTGTTAGTACATTTACGAAGTTTACGTAATGTTTCAGAGAAAATATAGTACATAATTTAATATTAATTTCTATGCATTGTAAACTGAAAAATATTTATTTTTAAATTTAGGGAAGCGGTGCTTCCCCCGCTTCCATGGACCGCACGCCCCTGCTCGTGTGCCTATTTCTAAATAAGCTATAACCTACGGCGAAAAATTTTCTTAGGCAACAAATTTTGAACCGGCATATCAATTTGACCGAATTTATTATTTCTCAACTCGGTTCTCGGTAAGTTGTTGTATTGATTCTACAAATTATATTCCACGCCTTGTTCTCAATGATCATAGGTAGTACCCCTTCCTAACGAAGTTTGAATTAATAATCTTGAAACTTGAAAAAATGCTCTCTAGAAAATATGTCGACATTCTACAATCATATCTAACGGGAAGAATGTTTAGAGTAAAGCAAGAAGAGGCATACTCCGAAATAAAATAAATTAAAGCAGGTGTCCCACAAGGCAATGTGCTAGAACCGGTTGCTTACTTATTATACACCAGCGATATCCCTCAACAACAATGTGTTAAAATAGCAACATTCGCGAATGACACTGCAATATTGGCAGTTGGCGGAACTAATACAGAGACCTCAGAAAAACTTTAGGAAACTTGCAACAGAATCAATCGAAGGACATAAAAGTGGAAAATAAAAATAAATCAAACTAAATCAGTGCATGTTGATTTTACTCTTTGACCAAATAAACAAAAACAAATAAGAATAAACAATGACGTTATTCGGCATTACGATTCGGTTAAATACCTAGGGGGGTAGTTCCAGCAAAATGGTCAAATTCCCTGTAACCAGAGAAAAGGTTTAAATCCAATTACACAATTACAAATTTCAAAATTATGGTTATATCAAAAGAAAACACTCCTTCAATGTACAGAGAATTTTTTTTCCTCCAAACCAATGGTTGCAAAAAAAATTGTTTGAACTCTATTTTTCATCACCATGGACTGTAACCGACAAGAGGTCACTTCATTGGGAAAAAAATTAAGCAAACAAATAATACGATCTAAGATAAAATACTACTAACATTTCATAAAATACATGTTAAACAATTCCTGGATACAAACATATTTCAAATTAAAATCATAATTTACGAAATATGGGCCATTTTTACTCTGTTACCATAAATAACGTCATTGCCATGGACCGTCCGATTTTTCATTTTAAATCCGCTAGGGAGCATCACCGGGGGTATTTTATATTAGGGGGGATTGTTCTTTACTCCTCAGTTTTCCGTCATCATTGAAGCGTGCATGTGCTTTGTTTTGCTTGGATTAGTTGAATGATTAACGTGGTAAAAGAGGTATGTATTTTTTTAATGTATCAACACCGTGCATTTCACCATCAAGTAGTTTTTTAGTAAATATATCTAACAATTGTAATATTGGGACAACATTAGGGTCACAAAAACTTTTTATTATTAGATTTATTTTTAAAGAATTTTATTAACTTGAAAATTGCTAAAATACTATTTTTCATCATCACCATGGACATCATTACCATGGTGATGATAGGTATCCATGGGAATAACGAAAATTATTGTTTTTAAAAAATTGCAATTTTGTTATTTTGTAGAACAGAATGGCTAATAATCAAACCACAGAAAAAAAGGCGCAAACAAAAACGAGACTGTGAACGAAGAAGGAAAGAAAAATAAAGAAAAACCCTGAACCTTATGAACAGGCCAAAATAAAAGAAAGACAGCGTTATCAAAGACGTAAAAAAGAAGAAAAAATAAAATCCATAGCTGCAGTGTCCGGTAGAACTGCCAGAGCCATAAGACGCCGCTGGAAAGATGCTTCTGCAAAATATAGAGACACGTTAAAAGAAAGTAAAAGACTATTTACATTAATGGAAAACAATACTCCCCCTTCAAGCCCAGAAGCTGCCGATCAACCGACAGGAGGCAGTCAAAACAATTATTTTTATTCACCGGAAGACACGAACACTGCTACGCCATCTTCATCGAGAAAAAAGTGTGGAAGAAAAGAATAGTAAGAAATAGATTGAAAGCCAATAGAGAGTTGGAAAAAGTAAAAAAAGAACTGGAAAAAATGAAGAGAAAAAGTTTTAAATGTAAAACGCGGTATTACAGATTAAAAGACAAGCATTTAAAAGAACAGAAAGAAAAAATGAGTCCGAAGTCAAATGTGAAGAGAGAATTGAATGGTAAAAATGTACCGCTAGAACTTAAAAAAAAATTACTATCTGCAGTGGCGTTAAAAACTACTAGAAATAAATTTCAAAGCAAGAGTCACAAGCAAAAACGAGAGTTTATGAGATGTGTCACAGGAAATACTACAAAGAAATATAGATGTTTTAATGACATGAGAAACATAGGATCTTATAAATTATTTTCTCTGAAAGGTCTGAAATCCACTAAAAGAGTTGACATTGCTAAAGAGATTAGGCATGTAATTCAAAAGTTTTACCAAAAAGGCGAAAACAGCAGTGTAGCTCCTGGTAAGAAAGATTCAATCACTTTTCATCAAATAAAGAAACAAAAAAGGTTTCTTAATGATACCATGAAAAACTTGTATTATAAGTTTTCCCGTGAAGAAAAACGCTTTAATGTCTCCTATGCACTTTTTTGTCAACATATGCCCTTTTGGGTCTTAATACCAAAAGCCTCATTAAGAGAGACCTGTCTCTGTGTTTTTCATGAAAATATGAGACTTTTAGTATTAAAAATGAAAATGATAGGAATAGTAACGCAAGCTAATCCTGACGACGTAAAAAATGTATGTTGTGAGCCAGCAACAAAACATTGTTTGGAAAGAGTATGCCAGAATTGTAAAACCAAAACTATACGCTATGACGATTATAATGCAGAAGAAAATACCTGCTACAAAAAGTGGATTCTAAAACGTGAAAAGCTTCTCGTAAAAGGTCTTGAAAAAGTTTGTCAAAAAAATGTTAAAGAGAATTTCCTTTGCACCAAGTCCCATTTAGTAATCGAACTGGAAAAAAATCTGCCCAATTACATGGAACACCTTGCTAAAATAGAACACCAGCATAAAGCCATAGATTATATTAAATGGATTTCTCAGAAAATTACTCCTGTAAATATTCTCAAGAAATACAAAGTGCCCATTTTGGGGGCTCGAAACCTCAGATTTCCCTTCACACTGTGGTGTGGTATACTAAATCTGAGGATGGAATCTTACTTTTCCATTGCTTTTGCAGTCTCTCCAAAAGTTTAAGGCATGATCCAGTTGGTATTTTGGCACATTTGAAGCCACTCTTCGAAACAATTTTAAATACTTGTCCCGAATTGGAAAATATTCATTTTGTGAGCGATACGCCTAGCATCTAGTACAAAAATAAAAGTATGTTTTACATATTTGGAATAGAATTTTTTAAATTACTTGATGCGCAATATATGACTTGGAACTTTACTGAGAGTGGTCATGGAAAAGGAGCTCCTGATGGCGTAGGGGGGGGGGGGGGGGTGTTAAAAGAACAGCTAATCGATTGGTGGCTCAGGGAGCAGATATACCAGATTTGGATAGTTTAGCTTCAGTACTGAAATAAAACTGCCCGGGCATAACCTTCAAAGTAGTAGCAGAAGAAGATATTAAAGTTTTAAATGATGTTCTTCCCTTAATATCAAGCCTTTTAAAGGCACTATGAAAGCAAGACAACTGGTCTGGACTCTTAAATATAATATTATGATTCATTTAAGACGATTGAGCCGTCTAACTTGCAAACCTCCAAATCCTTGCCTTCATTATCACTTGGGTGAAATGTTACTTGTTCCTGCTGTTAATAAGAGTCGTCTCAGATATTCAGATTTCAGATATTTTTTCTGATAGTTCCAACGATGATACGCAGAGCCCACATCCATATCAAACAGAAAAAAAAAATTATCAGGTAAATTTGTATTGGTTGATTATCCTAAGAATTCGAAAGTATATTATGTTGGCCAAGTTAAAAGTATACAAGAAGATAAAACTATCGCAGTTAATTTTATGAAACAAATTTTCTCATCAAGGAAAGTAAACTATCTTTTTATATGGCCAGAGATAGAGGATAAAAAGGTTGTTGATTTCAACAACGTCAAGAAACCACTACCTGTACCAATATCATTAAGAAGGAATAAGTTTCGATTTTCAGATGAACATTTCAATGGATTTACTAATGTTAAATAAACAAATCACCACTTGGCATATTCTTATTCTATTCAATGCTTTGTTTTTAAATATAAGTTAATAATGCCTAAGTTGTGTTGTTTTATGTTCATTATAATTATTATGAAAAGTATCTTTGATATTTTATCATGTACGTTATAAAATAATAAATTAGTTTTATTACTCTTGTAAACAAATGACTCTTCTTTCATGCAATAATATTAAAAAAAATGCACGGATAACTTCATGAAAAATGGAAAATACATGTCCATGGAAATGTTCAATAATTAATCAACTCTATGGACATGCATTATTTATTTTTTAGAATAAAAACCATAAAACCTAATAACGATCTCAACCTTGGTTATCAAACATATATCACCCCTTAAGCATAATGGCATCAATAATTTATATAATTTTTGTATTTAATATATCAGATTTTTCAATCATAATTTTTTACCATTTCACTGGAATAACCCAGGGATGAACCTAGATGTAAGACTTAAATGGAAAGAGCATATAAAAAAATCGTAAAGAACTTGAACTTAAATTCAAAAAAATGTATTGGCTCCTAGGAAGAAAATCCAAATCGTCAGTGTACAACAAACTGCTGATTTATAAACAAATTCTAAAACCAATCTGGATTTATGGCAGACAGCTATGGGCATGTGCCAGCAAGAGTTATATCAACATGATTCAAGTTTTCCAAAATAAAGTCATAAGATGCATTGTTGATGCACCTTGGTTCTATCGAAACGATTATCTTCATAGAGACCTGAAGATGCCAACAAACGAAAAAGAAATAAAGAGGTTTGCTGCAAAACATGAGGGTTGACTCCATTCCCACGTCAACGAAGAAGCGCTGCAATTACTGGACAACTCTACAGTCAGCAGATGCCTCAAAAGGAAGAAGCCATTTGAGCTAGTGCAGTGAACGTTAATGTTAGTTCTAGTGTAAAACAGTGTAATAAATGTAATAAACTTGTGATGTTTTCCTATAGAAACAATTAATAGAGCCCAATGGGGACTTCTTAGATAAGTAATTAGTAATTTAGATTAAAATTGTAGGTTAGTCAACTAGTAACAATACTCTAAAACTTAAGCTTTTCAACTTGTCACAAACTTATTTATTTTGGCTTAGAGATATCCAGAGATAGGTTTCTCTCCAGCTCATCAAAGTCTCGCAGGTTATCATTTCCTCATAAACCTGCTAAATGTCGCTAAGAGGTATCCAGAGACAGTCAGTCTCTCAGCTCATCAAAGTCCTGTAGGTAATTAACTCACCAAAAACCTGATGATTGTCGCTATGGTTGTCTAGGGATAGCCAGCCTCTCAAGTAAAAGTCCTGCAAGTTAATAACGTCACCAAGAGGTGTTTCTAAATTACCTCCATTTTTTCGAAAGCGGACATCTGGTGGGCCTCTACCACTTCGATGTAAATGTACAGATTGAGCTATTCTGTTTGCTCACTCCACAGGAACTTTATCATATTCTTATACTAAGTGATATAGAAACTCAAACATCCAGAAAACATAATTTAATAACTTTCTATATACAAGTTTATCATCACAAAAACAACACATGATAAAAAGTTTAACCTTATCACCTTCGCATCCAACTACTAACTGCACTGAGCTTTAAGTTTAAGTGCAGATATCGATACAGAATAAGTAAACCTGCTAGGCCAGACCTCTGCCCAAATTAATGTTTAATTACTATTAATATTTGTTGAATATTTTGTAATTTTCATGAAATAAAATCTTAACCTGAACTGGACCATTTTCCTGATACGCTTTTGATACTAATGCGTAACTTATGTAAATAGTGACGACATTTTCAACTAATTTGGCGTTTACTGTTTGCGTGTAACCAAACGGTATTTATGAATGGGTTGTGGACGAATAGTACAAAAATTATTCATCTAATAAAATTTATATTTATAAATTTGTTTAGCATTTTTGATGTTGTTTGAATAAAAAGTGAACAAACAATAGTTTTTTTGTTCTATTCTAAAGTTAAAATGGACAAGTGACCTTTTGATACTAAAAGCTACCGTATTATTTTAGCGGTACCAATTTAATTTGTTTGCCTCCATTATTTTAATTGGCAAACTTGTATCTTTAAAATTACTTTGTGAAATGCAGCCGCGTTCAGCTTTTAATTAGTTCTTCCTCTAGTAATTAGTAAATGGAAAATTGCAATTACAATTTAACGTAATGAATTCGAAAGAGGTTTGAACAAAGGGAAAAGGCGATTGAAAAACAGACATAATAGTAAAAAGCTGTAAGAATTCGGATGCGAGTAATTGTTAAAACATATTGTATTTTAGAGTAATCAATCAACATAAGTTGAATTAAATTTTATATGGTACAAACTATTATAGAAAAATAAAAAAAAATAAGTCAAAGACTTAAGAACGTACAGTTTTTTATTGAGTTCTATTATTTTTTATTTATAAACTCTTTTTTATTTAGTGTTTAGTATTTTATTAGTTATAAGGGTCGGTTTAGCATGTTCGCCTCGATCAAATATTAACTAATGAGGATAATATATCCAATAAACACACACTGGTATTTCCAACGTAAATAAAACGTTGTAAGATATAAAAAAACGTTATTGGCAATTTTTAACAGAATGTTGAAAATTTGATAAAATAATAATATTTTTTATAACGTTTAGTTGAAAAGAACGTTATTTTCCGCTACATGTAAACTATTTTATACGTTTTATATGTTTTATACGTTTTATACGTTTTATACCTTTTATACGTTTTATACCTTTTATACGTTTTATACCTTTTATACGTTTTATACCTTTTATACGTTTTATACGTTTTATACGTTTTATACGTTTTATACGTTTTATACGTTTTATACGTTTTATACGTTTTATACGTTTTATACGTTTTATACGTTTTATACGTTTTATACGTTTTATACGTTTTATACGTTTTATACGTTTTATACGTTTTATACGTTTTATACGTTTTATACGTTTTATACGTTTTATACGTTTTATACGTTTTATACGTTTTATACGTTTTATACGTTTTATACGTTTTATACGTTTTATACGTTTTATACGTTTTATACGTTTTATACGTTTTATACGTTTTATACGTTTTATACGTTTTATACGATTTATACGATTTATACGTTTTATACGTTTTATACGTTTTATACGTTTTATACGTTTTATACGTTTTAAACGTTTTATACGTTTTATACGTTTTATACGTTTTATACGTTTTATACGTTTTATACGTTTTATACGTTTTATACGTTTTTTACGTTTTATACGTTTTATACGTTTTATACGTTTTATACGTTTTATACGTTTTATACGTTTTATACGTTTTATACGTTTTATACGTTTTATACGTTTATACGTTTTATACGTTTTATACGTTTTATACGTTTTATACGTTTTATACGTTTTATACGTTTTATACGTTTTATACGTTTTATACGTTTTATACGTTTTATACGTTTTATACGTTTTATACGTTTTATACGTTTTATACGTTTTATACGTTTTATACGTTTTATACGTTTTATACGTTTTATACGTTTTATACGTTTTATACGTTTTATACGTTTTATACGTTTTATACGTTTTATACGTTTTATACGTTTTATACGTTTTATACGTTTTATACGTTTTATACGTTTTATACGTTTTATACGTTTTATACGTTTTATACGTTTTATACGTTTTATACGTTTTATACGTTTTATACGTTTTATACGTTTTATACGTTTTATACGTTTTATACGTTTTATACGTTTTATACGTTTTATACGTTTTATACGTTTTATACGTTTTATACGTTTTATACGTTTTATACGTTTTATACGTTTTATACGTTTTATACGTTTTATACGTTTTATACGTTTTATACGTTTTATACGTTTTATACGTTTTATACGTTTTATACGTTTTATACGTTTTATACGTTTTATACGTTTTATACGTTTTATACGTTTTATACGTTTTATACGTTTTATACGTTTTATACGTTTTATACGTTTTATACGTTTTATACGTTTTATACGTTTTATACGTTTTATACGT